CCCTCAAAAGATTTTGATCCCTTAAATGACAAAGTGGTCTAGGTTTTATTAAGTTATATGAGCCAATATTTTTAAATAGAAAAAAAATTTAAGGAACCAAAACTCATTATTCGAAACTCGAGAGATCAAAATTAAAATGAAGACAAAATTAAGTAACTAAAAATTATATTAACATTTTATATTTCTTACCAATACTAAAATATAAACATTTAATAAAACTCAAATTACATCCAAGCTGTTCAATTTTTTAATTAAAAATAGAGAAAATGACACAAAAATAACACTTGAATTTAGAAATGCTAAAATGGTCACTTAAATTTGTAAAATCTCAATTTAGTTACAAGTGACCAATTTGACATTTATAAATTTACTGAAATGACCATATTACCCTTTATTTTATTTATTAATTTTTAAAAATCCAAAGTCCCCACTGGCTGGCTGGTCGTCGAAGCTCTGGTGTTTTTACAACTTTATGTTAACCGCTATACAGAAATTGTTAATAGCATTACAAAACTTGTTAACTGTTATATTGAAGTTGTAAAAATTTTCTAAAAAAAAATAGTTGTTTAAGTTGTAAGAATGCCATTTTTTTTAATTTTTAAAAAAATTTGTTGTTAAATGTTATATCAAAGTTGTTAATAGAGTTACATAACTTATTAACGACGTTACTAAAGTTGTAAAAATACTACTTTTTGAATTTTCTGAAAAATCTATTATTAATTGCTATATTGAAATTGTTAATAATGTTATAAAAGTTGTTAATCGTTATACTGAAGTTGTAAAAAATTTTTTAAAAATTGTTTTCGGCCATCGGATCTCCGGCAATTAATTTTTGGCTAGTCATCAAAGCTCCCGTGACAGCCGCCGCCGCCGACCAACCGGCTAGTGGGGGCTTTGGTTTTTTTAAAAAAAATAATAAATAAAATGAAGAGCAATATGGTCATTCTAACAAATTTATAAATGTCAAATTGGTCACTCTATGACTAAATTGGAATTTTGCAAATTCAATTGATTATTTTGTCATTTTCAAGTTCAAATATCATTTTTGTCTTATTTTCCCTTAAAAATATTTAGTTTTGAAAAATGTTACTAGCATTTAACTTGTAAATTTAATTTAAATTTACTATATCAAATGCGCACTCGATATTTAAGGGACTTATTTTCTAAATTACCTCATTAGCATGTATCATGACAATATAATTTTTTTTACAATGATAATATTGAAATATACTTTATACTTTTTTTTATTTTAACAATATCAATATCATCGTCGTTTGAGCTGATTTGTGGCCAAATCTACTTTTAATTAAGGGGCAAAACAATTGAAATGAGGTTTTAAGATTGATTAAGAATTCATTAACTAGTTAGCATTATTCTTTTGCAAGGCACAAAATCTAGATATCTTTTTTAACTCCATATATAATATGAAACTATATTATTTATAAATTAAAAATAACCAAACTGGTTCAGAGCACGGATTTATAATTTAGTTAAAATTAAATGTATTTTATTATTCATTTATGCAATAAATCTATAATAATTATATAATGACGAAAAAGAATCTTATCACAATTTATTGCTTATTAATCACTCTTTTCCTAACGATAATAATTATTTTGGTCTTATATATAAGTCAAGGAGAGATGATGTTTGTTCTTTTATCTATAAGTTACATTACTAAATTTTTCATATAAATATACTATCTTATCTTTCATTTATTATGGTGTATACAATTATTTTTTGAGAATTTATTATATTATATAAAATTAAAATTAAAAGTTATTAAATTTTTATAAAGAGTTGATTATATTTAAGATTTTTTTATTTTGATAAAATATACGGAAAGTAATTTAGAACGAGGATTGAATAAGTATGGAATTTTGTCATATTTTTTAATAGATGGTTTGAAAAGGAATTTTTAATTTCAATAAATAAGCACTGCAACGTTGACATACATTTACATTCCAAGCATCTTTACTATAAAGCATTTCTAACTATAATAAAACTAGAAAAAGATGACAATGGTTAAGTTATTGACTTTATCCTAAAAGTATCAAGAATATGAAATAAACACTTTTACTCAATTATAAATTGAGTAAACCAACATTGAATGATAAAACAACAGAAAACACCTTGGAGAAAAAGTGTAGTTATTGTAGTTAAAAGTAATGAATTTGTAGTTACCATAATTTTATAGCTCTTTTTTATTTTTATTATAAGTTTCAAATAAATAATCTGTGTAACCAAAAAATTAGTAAAACAATAAATAAATAAGAAATATATTTCTGTTTTCAAATATATTCTTACAGTAAATGAGGAAAAAATGAGAAATAATATATAAGAAAATAAAATGGGAGAGAATGTGACAAAAAAAATAGAACAAATAATTAAGAATAAAATTGTAAAAAAAATTCATGAAATATTAAAACAAACTCAAATTAAAGCTTATAAAATAAATAACATTTTCTCCTGACTTTGAAACTTATAAATATGATGGGAGGCAATATAAATACTCTTAAACATCTTGTGATCTTGTCCCACCTTCTAATAATGTAATGTGAAAATGGAGGCACTCACGTAAAAAAATAAATGTGAATTAGGTCAAAATTTGTCATATAAAAAAAAGGATAGTTAATATTCAAGTCTTTATAATTTCAACTGATTTTTAATCAGGTTCTTATAAATTTTTTTTCTTTTTATTAAGTCCTTGTAATTTCACATGTTTTGAATTAGGTCTTTATAATTTTTTTTTCTTATCAGGTCCTTGTTTTATCATATTTTTAATTAGGTCCTTGTAGTTTTTATTCTTTATTCTATAAATAATAATATTTTATAAATAATAAATTATTATAATAATCTTATGTTAGTATTCTTTTAAATTTTTAGTTAAACATATGTATTATTTTTCAATTCTAATTTTTATAATTATAAAATTCAAATTATAATAATAAAATTATTTAAAATTAGAATATAATTATAAATAAATTAAATTTTATTATAATTGATTACTCTAATTAATTATTAATTATTAAATGATTATATTAACTATTTTGTATAAAATATTTATATTCAATTAGAATTGATTATTCTAATTAATTATTAATTAAAAAATCATTCTATTAATTATTTTGCACAATTATATAATTATTAATTTAAAATGAAATTAATTTTCAAGAACAAATTTTATAAATAAATTTTTTAAAACTAGAAAGGACCTAATTAAAAAATAAGGTAAACTATAAGGACTTGGTAAAAAAAAAGAAAGAAAGGGCCTAATTAAAAACACCTGAAAGTAAAAAGACATGATAAAAAAAAAATTTATAAAGACCTAATTAAAAATCAAATGAAATTATAAGAACCTAGAGATTAATTATCTCTAAAAAAATCTAAATTTGTCAAAATATCTTTTATACGACCTGCTTCCCTTTTTATAATTAATCTTAGACTCACGTAAATAAAAAAATAGTTAAAAATAATTAAATGTGTAGAAATTGAAAATTTTTTTCTAAAATCTCCTTATTTATGAAAGAGAGAATGTATAAAAAAGTGAATAAAAAATTATTATAATAAATAGAGTTATGAAAGAGAGAGAATGTGTGATGAAAAGAGATAATTGCTTGGAAAATGAGATAATAAATATATTTAGTATTAGAATAAGTAATTAATATGGGTAAAATAAGAAATTTGCTATAAAAATTAAAACAACTTGTAAATATTGCTTATATCTAGGAAAGAGAAAAGAATGATAGTTGTTAATTACAAAAAAGATAATTAATCTCCAAGTTCTTATAGTTTTATTTGATTTTTAATTAGATTCCTATAAAAAAAATTTTATCAGGTCCCTATAAGTTATTAACTTTATCCTAAAAGCATCAATTTTGTTCATATTTAACTTAAAACTTTTACTCAATTAAAAATTAAGTAAACCAACTTTGATTGATAAAACAATAGAAAACACCTTGGAGAAAAAGTATAGTTATTATAGTTAAAAGTAATAAACTTGTAGCTACCATCATTTTATTATTTTTTTTATTCTTATTATAAGTTTTAAATAAATAATCTGTGTAAACAAAAATTAATAAAAGTAAATAAGTAAAAAATATATTTCTTTTTTTAATTATATCCATCCTTAAAGTAACCGAGGAAAAAATCAAAAATAATATATAGAGAAATGGAATGAGAGAGAATGTGACAAAAAATAAAACAAATAATTAAGAATAAAATTATAAAAAAAATCAAATATTAAAACAAACTCAAATTAAAACTTATAAAATGAATCACATTCTCTTCTAACTTTAGAACTTATAAATATGATGGGAGGCAGCATAAATACCCTTAAACATCTTGTGATCTTGTCCCAGAACAAATAATTAAGAATAAAATTTAAAAAAAATTCATTAAATATTAAAACAACTAAAATTAAAACTTATAAAATACATCACATTTTTTTCTAACTTTGGAACTTATAAATATGATGGGAAGTAGTATAAATACTCTTAGACATCTTGTCCCACTTTCTAATAATGTAATGTTAGAATGCAAACGGAGGCATTCACGTTAAAAAAAAAAAAGTGATAAAAATTAGAAAAAAAATTATCCATAGAAACAAATCCAAATTTGTTATATAGAAAAAACAATACAAATTTGTCAAAATATCTTTTATAATTAAAATCGAATAAGGGATATGCCCCTTATGTCATAAAATACATAAAGGATAATAATATTTCATAGTAAATACACTTTTCATTCCAACACAGTAACACCTAAGTCAACGGTCACAACACTGAGCACTGAACCGAAGTATCCAACTCTCGTCCTTCCCTTCACTTGCACAGATCCTCATGTTGTAAATGTGGCAGTGTTTTGCATCAGCAACGCCTATCTCCCCCACTTAATTTACCATTATACCCTTGGATCCTACCCTTCCTTCCTTCTTTCTGCCCAGTAAATTCCTCCTTCCTATCTGTCCTTCATCGTCATTTCAGAACCGAGCTCTCACTCTCTCTCCCCACCCCTCCCTCCTCTCTCTCCAGTTTCGCCCATCTCTTCCCAAACCCCACACAATCAGCACTCACAACACCGTCAATCGAAGCCCAAAACCACCGCGAGAAATGGACAATAGTGGCAGCAGAGCCGAAGCCGAACGGTGGCTCTACACCGCCAATAAGCTCCTCAGTGCACGTGATCTGCACGGGGCTAGGTCTTTCGCGGTTCGAGCCCGTGAGTCCGATCCCACATTTGACGCTTCTGAGTTGCTGCTCGCTGTCATCGATACCCTCCTTGCCGGTGAGACTCAGATCAATGGCCTCCATGATTGGTATAGCATCCTCCAGATTCTGCCTTATACTCACAATATCGAGTACATCGCCTCCCAGTACCGTCGTCTCGCTCTCCTCCTTGACCCTCATCGTAACCCTTTTGCGTTTTCTAGCCATGCGTTCACGCTCGTTCATGACGCGTGGTCTGTACTCTCCAATCCAGCTAAGAAGGCTATGTACGATAACGAGCTGCGATTGGTCACCGCCCCTCCTCCTGCGGCCCCTCCCCCGCAGACTGTTCCGGTGGCAACGGTTCATGCACCGGACCCGGTTCCGACTCCGAACCCAACTCCGATGCCTAATCCACCCTTTGTTCAGCGGCAACAGCAGCAGCAGCGAACTCCGGCGAAGAGGGGCCCGAAGCCCAAAGAGAGGGCTGGTGCCGGAGAACAAAGGCCGAGTCCTAACATTGCGACGACGGGGACGACCTCGCAAGCTCGGACGAGCGACCCGGTTGAGTCTGAAACCGGTTCGAGTTTCTGGACGGCGTGCCCGTACTGTTACGTTATGTATGAGTACCCGACGTTGTACGAGGACTGTACTCTAAGGTGCCAGAGCTGTAGAAGGGGATTTCATGCGGTGAAGGTGCGGACGCCGCCGGTGGCGGGGAAAGATTCGTATTATTGCTGTTGGGGGTTTTTCCCGTTAGGGTTTTCAGGGGATTTCAAAGACATAAGTGGGACTAATTCCAAGTGGAACCCATTTTCTGCAATGTTTGCATGCCCTTTGAGAGGAGGAGGAGGAGGAAGGGGATCTCAGAAAGGACCTTGGGTTTATCATGATGATGAAGCTGCTGCTGCATTCATTGAATTTTCTGAGCCAAGTGATGATGATTCGGATGATGCTGACTGGGGAGAGAGGGATGAGAGGGCGAGGAAGAGGGCTAAGAACAAAGCAAGAAGCTCTGGTAATGCTAGTGGTGGTGATGCAAGAAGGGCATTTTCTGAAAGAACTAGGAGAGGGAGCCAGAGTGGGTCCGGACATGCCAATTTAGAAAATGGTGTGATTGGAGACGGTGGGTCTGGTGCGCCAAATACTGTGAGGGCGGAGTTGAGTAAAAAAGCTGCAAATAGCTCGAGAAGAAGGGGTGCAGGGAATCTGGGGAAATTGGATTTGAATGTGGAGTTTAGTAATGAGGTGGAAGAGCCGGCCCCGGCAGTAAGAGATGGTAATGTGGCTGGAAATGCTGAGGAGAATATAGAAGGGAATGCATTTTTTGAGGGTCTTGATGAATTCCTTAACAGCTTGCCCATTCTCAATGTTGTGGCAGATGACAAGGTTAAGGGCCACTAGTATTTAAAGCCGCCTGTATTTTTGTTCACTGTTGTAGATTTTACTATTTGTAGTTGTATGCATGCTTGTAAGTGCTGTAGTAAGAAGTACTGCAAATCATCTTCCAGTTAATCTTATAATAATTTGCGGCAATTTGTGCATACTTCTTGAAATATTTTTGGGTTGCCTTTTCTGAGGTAGGTTGCACCTTTCAGAAAGGAAAAAAAAAAAAATTATATCAGTGATTGAAGTTTAATAGTCACACACTCCCTAATAAACTATGGGGGCTTCATGTGAAGATAAAAATCTAACTTTATTATCCTTTACATTACAAGTTAATTTATATGTTTATATTAGCTGGTTGATAGCCTTATTGGTGCTTTGAAATACTAGATTGCCATTCTCCTCGAGAACCATCATTATCTGCTTCAATAGCCGATGACAACTTAAGTATTCTATGTTTCGTATGTATCTACATGCAAACATCAATTTGTAATAACACATTCTCTTAGCTCCGGTATGTAACCATCACAGTCTTGATACATCTATGTATTGTCTTATATTTTTTTTTTTGGTGATTATTTAGGTATTATTTATTGGTATATTGATGGTGCTAACTAATCTAGTTTATAAATTATTTTCCTAATGCATACATGTGTTTCTCTGCCCCCCTCTCTGCGTCTCTGTGGTTGTAGAAGTATTCTTAGCTGCAGGTTTTGCTTTTGTTTTCTTGAGAGATGCAAATGACCTGTATCTTGCTTATATCTGTCTGATGAGTTATGGATGCCCTGAAACTGAAAAGATTGGAAGAAGCAATTTCTTGGTTTACTACTAAATATAATGCTTTTCCATTGTATTATATGCTCTTACCTTTGCCTCATTATCTACCTCCAGGCCTGTTAGGACTATTCCAAGGTTAAGTACTCGGTTAGCTACGCAATGCTAATGGCTAAAGGGAGAATCATACTTTCTTATGTCTTGACTGGTCTACTTGCTTTAGCTGACCCAAAAAGCTACTTACTAGATCCATCATGAGTTCATTATGTGTGTTGTTTCTTTGGTCATTTTGTGAAGCATTTTTCAGTTTACGTGTGAATTGATGACCCGAGATGCTGTGCACTGATTACTCTATGCTCTTTTTTGCTTCCAGAGATTGTCTGATTTGTTGATAAATGTTATTGACTTTATAGCTCCATTCACGTTGTAGGGTTTATGTTCTGATTGAGGCCTAGCTACACGCTTTCAAGATTGGATTATTTGTTGGTCTCTAGAAAATGTTGATGTGTTAATGGTGGTTCTGCATTCTGAATTATTACCTATGCATTTATGATATATAGTCATGTAGTGAGTTCTGAAGTATTAGATCTAAGTAATGGGATTATTTATAAAAACAGAAGAAAGCCCATGACTCTAGAAAGTACTGTATATATCTTTCATCACATGAAAATTTGCTTTCTTCTGTCAATATGTTGAATGGAGACTTGGGTCCATGAATCGGAAAGAAGGTCCCAATGCTGATTGTGTCCCCTTTATTTGATCAAAAGGAAAAAATAGCAGAAAATGAATCAGTGTGGGAATTGATTGTTTGAAAGATTATTTTCTCCAACAATCACTTGATGCGAAAATGATTGCTTCCTGTTTCAGAATCTCATTGTCTAGGGAAGTTGATTCTTTGTTTCTATCTGTTCATTGCTGCTTCTTTTATGTTGGAAGCACAGTGATCATAATCAGGGTCCAAACCCTCTCAACGTGAGAGAGTTTGCTCTCTCTCTCTCCAAATATTTTTCAGTTTCGTTTAGTCTGTAACTATTAATGTTATTTTTGTCTAATTGTTTTGATTAGGGGGATTTTCTTGTACTCAGTTTTTCACTGTCACACAGTTGTCAGTTTCAGAATGCACATCTCGGGCCGCATGAATAATGGTTCTGAGTAATCCTATAAAAACGTGATGCAAGCTTAAAATTTGAATGTGCCTCTTAGGATTGGTGAACCTTTAAAAAAAAAAAAACAAGAAGAAGCATAAATTGGTGAAACTGAAAAAAAAAGGTATAAAAAGGGCTTTTTAAAAGCTTTTTTTTTTTCCTGTAAATTGAGACAAATTCCTTCACATATTTATTTCGCATACCGTAAAATTATTTTTAAAATTATGGTTTGGTTTTTATTTAAATATCTTTTGGGTATTACTTAGACCTTGTACAAGCCAAAAAAAAAAAAAAGAAAGCAAGAGAAAGCTTGGTCTTTTTTTTTAAACCAAGCACAGATATCTCTTATTAAAGCCAATGACATCCGAGATATTATTAAGTATTGGATATGAGTACTTCTTACAATAAAAAATTTTAGTTGGTCACATTGTGTGGAATAAGTTTTTTTTATTAAACTTAATCCCTTTTAGTAGCTTAGTCCAATTTTAATCTACATAAATAGTATATCATGTTCTTGCGCTTCAACTGCACATTACAATATTAGTAAATTAGTAAATAAGATTGTCTTTAATCAAAGGATACTTTAATAATAGTAACATTTAACCAAAAGCTAAAATTATTACTTTTGTTTTATTTTTATATGAATCACTTAATAAAGGTGATGACCCAATAATTCAATGTTATCCCATTGAACTCTTTTTGTTTTTTTCTTCTTCTTTTTTTTCATTTGGAAGGCTTATATTTTATTATAAAAAAAGGGTGGGGCCTACATTTTGTGACAAAAAGTCAAGGTCACTTTGTGTGCGTGTTGTTTTCAAAATGTCAAATGGGAACTTGTGATCCTCTTATAGTGCCGTGCTGATCTGTATATTCCAAAGACAGGTTCATCTTTTTATACGAAATACTTACTTTTTTGTAACAGTAACTTTTGGACACCGTAAATTTTAAGTTTTTTTATTTGTTATTTTTTAATGACAAAAAATTATTTTTTAAATGGAAAGATAGCATCAATTTTTTTGGCCTCAACTTTAGCCTAAAAAAATTTAATCCTTCGTTGTAAAATTTATTGTTAAAATGTAATTAAAAAATATACTTTTTTAACATGGTTAGAAATAGGTTATACATATGCATTGGGGGGGGGGGGGTGGGGGAAGAGCTATCAGAAAATATGTTGCATCTGAATCCAAAACAAATTTAAGGTACTTTAAAATACTGCTGATCAACTTCGAATCAAAAATTAAAACTGATCAACTAGTGTAACAGTGGAAACTGAAACATACTGGTAGATTGGTGGAAAACTGAATTGTTTGTCGCGTACCTCAGGAGGGTGGGACGAGAGAGACAATCCGAATTTGAGAATGACTACCCTAAAAAGGAAAAAGCTTCACCTTCACGGTATTCTGGTGAACTTGTGGTGAATGAAGTAGCTACGGTGCAAAAGTGTCTTTCTTTCTCACTTTTTCTCTTCTTTTCCCTCTTAATTTAGATTTCTCCGTTTTTGTTGGAGACGACTCGACTCGGAGATGCGTCCTGATCCAAACTTTACTTTATCCACCCTTTAAAATAATTCCCCTGCCATGACTATTTCACTCAATTCTCAATTCGTACTGAAGGAGAAGCGAACCCATTTTTGTTTGGGCTCTCTGATATGACCGCTTCTGCTGCTCCAATTTCGGTTTCAGGTGACCCCTTCGTTTCCATCTCCAAGCCCCTTGCTTTACCCTTACCCTTCAATTCTTCCTGCATTGTGCTTCATGGAGCTACATTGAGGGCTTCAAGGGTATTTCTGTTGTGTTATATGATTTACCTCCTGGATGCTCTTTTGTTCTGAATGAGCTCATTGTACGACTATTGCTGTGGCAGATCTTTAGGTTTAAGCTGGAAATAAGGAAAACCGAGCTCACCCATTTGAGATTGTTGAAGGGTTTGAGGTTAGTGGTTAACTTCCCCTCGGTATCTGCTTAAAGTGAAATTATTACTATTAGATTGCTTACTGTTGACTTCCTTTTATCTACTTTAACAGGAATGTCTAGAATGGTTGTTCTTAACTAATCCCCTGGTTCTTTGGTGGTGACGATCTTTATACCTGTCTGATTATAAGAATAGCTCTGAGTTAAAATCATTCGGGAGGGAAATTATTAGTAGATGGATCGGTTGTTGTTTACCATTTTTTCATCTTAAATTGTAAAAACTTTGAAGCTCCCCTCAACAATGGGTAAATTACATAGATTGAAAAGGAATATAAGACTTTTGATCTTGGCGTGTCTTATATGTGGATACGCTTAACTTGAGCGATCTATGCCTGTATGATAACACCAAAACCCTTAATCACTATTCTATATTGAATACTGATGTGTGTAATGTGATCCCATGGTGTTTCATTGTTCGATTTTAATTCTTTGTGGTTTAATTGAACCTATAATTCTACTCTGGATTTTGTATCAACACTTTGAAGTCAAAGTTAGAATAACAAAGCGATTTGTTCTTATTGTGATGAAATCCAGTAAAACCGTTTTTTGCATTGTTCTTATGTTTGTAGGAGCAACAAAACTTCAGATTTGAAGGCCTCCATGGGTCCTCCTGGATTTAACCAGCAACAGGAAAACAAGAATCCAGAAACTATGACAGAAGCAGAAAAGGGGCTTGATCTATTTAATGATCTGAAGGACAGGTTCTTAAGTTTTAAAAAGAATAAATACATGTAAGTTTCAGTATTGCCTTGTTCACAAGCGTTTTGCTTCTAATAGTGATAAATGGAATAAAATTCTTCAAGATTGGTTTCTGCTTTCTGGCAGGGGAAACTTAGAACATTTCCAAAATCTTGCCCAGGCTCAATTTCCAAAGGTAATTACTCTTTGTGTCTTTCCCCACCCTTTTGACTAAGCATTCAACTGTGTTTTGCTTTATCTTTTTGGGCAAGTGCTTTAATTTGTCTTGTGGTGAAATTAATTTTTCTTGACTAACATTTGCAAGAACAGTTCATGGTCATTGCTTGTGCAGACTCTAGGGTTTGCCCATCATATATTCTGGGATTTCAACCAGGTGAAGCTTTCATGATTCGGAATGTTGCTAATTTGGTAACTTCATTCGAGGTATACGCCTACGTCATCGAAACTATTATTGTTGTTGCACTGGGAGGTAGACCCTGCCTTCCCTCAAAGTCTTACCCATATTCCTTGATGCAGAATGGACCATCGGAGACAAATGCTGCTCTAGAATTTGCTGTGACCACACTGAAAGTAAGACATTATTACCAATAAATTCGGGAGCTTTAATGGTGTTATTCATTTATCTCTGTACATTTTGTTTCTTTGGTCTGTTAATTATTTACTTTTCCATTTCTTAAACCCAGCCGTAAAGCTATCTAAGTTCATTACAAAATTCAATGAGAACCTTGAAATCCGCTATGTAGAGTAACTATGATTATGAGTTCATTTTATTCTCATGGACCATTCACAACCTAGGATGAGAGAAATAAAATTATCGTAGTTATAATACTGGTTGATCTTGTGTTATATCTTCAATGAACTGCTTGGGTGACAAGTTTTGAGCTCAATATGTGAAAGGAAGCAGGGGAAACATATATCACAGTAGCAGCAATGTTAGGTCATCTGCGTATGATTATTAAATTTGCGACATAAATGGATTTGAGCAATAACATTAAGCCATACGTTGCAATAAAACTTGTAGCTTGGTTTTGTGACTTTGTGTTATGTACATGGAGGACTTTTCAGCTTTTAGATATATAACCTTCTGTTCTGACAACATATAGTTTTATATTTGTTTGATCTGAAAGATAAAACTTATTCTCACTGTAGGTGGAGAACATCTTAGTCATTGGTCACAGCTGCTGCGGGGGAATTCGTGCTCTTATGGGTATGCAAGACGATGCAAATGGAAGGTTGAACTTAGATAAATATAAATATTGTTTTCCTTTCTGTGATAAACAAATTACGTTTCATTTTCTTACTTGGTTATTTTTATTCCTTAGCCTCTTAGAAAGCTGGGTTGTTGCTGGAAAAAATGCTAGAATAAAAACTGAGACTGCTGCTTCTGGCCTTGACTTTGATCAGCGGTGCAGGCATTGTGAGAAGGTACATTTCATGTGCTTTAGGTGAATCACCTAATTTATAATTTCTAATATTTTTATCTGCTAATGTATTCATAATGTCTAATATCTTCATTCCCTGATGAATGATATATCTTAATAGTTAGTTGATGATAGATCTTAATGACGTTGTACAATTAACGAACCTCACATAGTAGTGAGATTAATCTTATTATTGTTGTCATATATTTATTTGCTCTTGCATGTTGAGGTGAATGACTTAATTTATTTGTCTAATTGTTTTATCTGCTAATGTATTACTTTGTTTTTCGTAATTATACATCACAGTTTTCTGTTTTCCATCAACTTCTTGAGTGATATAGAATGAGCCTTTGCAAAATGTTAATTCTTAAAGAAAACGGATGGAGCCTGAAGGATTCAAGTGAATTTTATGCAGGAATCACTCAACCATTCCTTATTGAACCTACTTACTTATCCATGGATAGAAGAAAGGGTGTCCAATGGAGAACTGCTCATTCATGGCGGTTATTATGATTTTGTTGAATGCTCATTTGAGAAATGGACTGTGGATTACATGAAAATGAAAACAGAAGGAACTGATGTGTTAGTAGTGAAAGACAGAGTGGTTTGGTGCTAAACTTTTGCTTTTGTTTTCCTTAGTAGTGGATTTTATTGCTCTGTTAAAATAAATACTTCCAAGTGAGGTAATTGTATAATCTATACATTTACTTATTATTATGTTGGGTTGAGTAGAGAGCATGAATAACCCTTAAATAAATTTGTCAGTATTAATATTATAGAAAGAAAAGAATTATGCAAATTGCCTTTGTTTAGGTTCCACATTGCTCAAATATGACTGGAAGTATAATATCAGTTTTTTATTAAAAAAATCATAACAAGCAGCCTGAAATACACACACATATCATTTGTATTATATTTAACTTAAATTTTTTTCCTTATTTAAGTGATGTAATTTTGATATTACAAATG